AGAACAATAGGGTCGATGGACGCCTTGCACATAGAGATGGCAACAATATATCTTCTTCTCCGTATGGAGCTCCAACAATGTAGTCTAGTTGCCGAACTACACGGAGTAACACGGAGCTTATCACCGACTTCTCGCTGCGCCCTTGTTGGCACTAACGACGTGAGTGACGCCGGAAATCTGGATTCCCGAGCGGGAGATTTCAATTCTCAGTCGGGCCTCTATAGGTCGACGTCAAATTATGATTCATATAAACTGTGAAAATCACATAAGATCTTCCAATCAGGCAGAAGTGTGCTCTTAAGTTGGGCTGATGTGACTAGAACCACTATTGAGAATGGAAAATTAACAATACTTGTCCTTTTATATTTTAGAAGAACATTATATTCCGTCGAGCACGATATCCTACAGGGAATACGAAATCGAAAGTTTTCTTTCTGTGGAAGTTATTACCCCACAACTAATCAGATTTTTTTAAAATGTTCATGGCATCATTTAAACATCTACAATTGAAGTTATGCAAAGAACATCCAAACTACAAGAATGAAAGTGAGTCGGAAAGTTCTTAATGTTTCATTTCATATGAACATTTCTTAATATTTCATACTGTAAGGAAGTTCGTCGAAAATGGGTTATGTGTGGTATGTGGCTATAGAAAAATTAGTGATGTTCTACATATTAAAACAATTTTCAATAGATTAATTTCCTATCTATATTTAATAATACTTCATATTACTCGGCCCCATGCATGGGAGCCACTGTGACAGCTTTCGTATGGATTATTTAATAATAATTTATATATTTCTTTGCCCCTCTCTTGGGAGCCGCTGTAACCTTAGATTAATTCTACGACCATTACTTTAATTAAAGTATTCGGTAAAATAACAATGTCTCTTTTACTGAGGGTTAACATAATCAATTTCCAACTCTTCTACTATTATTTTCTTCCTTTTGTAATTAATTAATTAATCCATCGGGTCCACAAATTTAATTTTGGGTCGAGGTTCATGAAGTCGTCCCATACGGGATGGGGGATGCTATTATCAATATTAGGGGGATAGGATACGTGGCTTACTTTGGTGGTACCCATCGTCAGATATCTAAACAATAAAATTAAAAAACACAACAAAGTTTCAAATTCATAATGTTAGGGTTCCAATAGTCAGTGCAACTTTGATTTATTTTACTTTACGCAAATATTGTTCATTTTCATTAACTATCTCGTAATGACTCCACCTAAATTATCAATACTCTCCGCAACAACGACAATAAAATATACCGACGAAAAACATTATACACTCTGACAAATAATGTACACATTCACACCTATTTTCTTTTCATTCATTCAACAACTCATTCATAGTACGCATGCATTCCATTGTCGCAATTTAATTTTGAATCTAACTCACTTTTCACTTTTTCGCACTTATTAACGCAAGAAGAGAAAGTATTGTAATCGTGCGCTGAAAAACGGCAACACAAAACTCTTAACGCCTACGGCTAGCTAAAATGAATACCAAAACAATCTCCTATCGCTTCCGTATGTTCACTTCTGTGGATTTTTTCTTTATTGTTCATTTTATTAATAATGTTATATGTCACTCATTTCTACTGTCGACAAAATGTTTTTAAAGTTATTCCAGCCAAAATTTGTTTGTTTTTTTCCTTAATTATATTTTTTACTGGATTTCATGCCTTTGATCTTTCGACTTCGCCCTTTCAGCTGTATTTCACGTTATACTATTTTTATGTTCTAGTTGCCAAAATACAACATATAAACCAATTTTTACGTAATTCGCATGCTCTTTTTTCTTAATTTGCGTCCGTCATATTTATTATTGAACATTTTTTCTCAGATCTGGGTCAATTTAACAAGAAACGTTTCATTTTTGTCTCTGCTTCAATTGTTTATTAGGCACAATGTCACTTAAGGGATTCTTATTTTACATTAATTATTAAAATTACTGTTGACGTATCCGGATGGTTCGTCACAATGTTCGCTACAAGGAAAATAGAAAACCCTAAGAAAATGAATTCATGTCGTTCTTTTAAACTCGAATAGTAATGAAATTAAGGTTTACAAATTCTGAAAAAAATACAATAACTACTCATTGAGAATACAGACTTGAATATGTTTCGAAAAAGTAATTGGAATGTTTTATAGTTGCCAGGATTTATGTATGTATTACGTTGTAGGTAATTACGCCAAACATATCCCGTTGCTTACTGTAATTCAAAAACGTAATGCACTACAGTGATTATTTTGTGAAAGAACACATGTGTTAGACGATTGCTGGGCATTTTGTTTATAGAGACTACTCTTTGCAATTACGAACACTCTTCGAGCATAAGAAAACACGCTCTTTTCGCTTTGCTTACTACGAACTCACACTCACTTGTTTTATCGGAGAGAAATGGCGAATGCTTTCAATAGGCAGATTACAACTCTCTCGCTGAAGTAATGAAAAAATATTATATAATGGCCTTTAAACACACACGCTCGAAAACATTCAACTGTTTGCTCTAGAGCAATCACGCTCTCGATTCATATTATCTTACTTAGGAGGCGAATCGTGGTATTGACTAAAAATAAATCTATGGGATCTGGTGGAATTCCCAGGGAAATTGTAGGATTGCGAGGGGAAGCCATAATTCTGCACCTTGCGATAATTCTATGAATAATGCTAATGTCCCTCCTGACCAGAAAAAGTTACAGTGATTCCTATTTACAAAGGTGGGGGTTATTGTCAAATTATAGGCCAATTATTTTAACATCGATAATATGTAAACTATTAGAACATCAATTTGCCGACTACATGCGATATGTATCGAATAAGAATGCCCTCGTACATGAACACCAACACAGCTTCAGATATGGCTATTCTTGTGCAAGTCAGCTAACTGCCGTTGGTCAAGATATTTCTGGTTTACTCGTCCAAGGAGAAATAATTTATGCAATCATTATAGTTTTTCTAACGTTTTCCTTTTAGTTTCCTCAGGACAGATCTCTAAATCAAATTATCGATTTGGAAGTAGACCCGAGAGTAGTAATGGGAAGAGTGTTTCTTCTCATTTCGCTTCTCTTTTCTTTCTCGCTACTATGAGAAAAACTGCGATTTTTCGACACAAAAACTCGTATTGTAAGTCCGATACCAAAAAAAGTAGATAATTACTACTCCTATGTGTAACAAGTAATTTCATATATTGAGTTGTGTGGTCAGAATCCACTTTTGTGGGTCGTTGGTACCGAAAAATTGTTTATTGGATCATGGTCATTCGTTCGACCGTACAGCTCGACACACCCTTTTTTTGCAACAGTTCTGCTGGGAGGTGTTTGACCATTAACCCTATAGCCTGCTTCTCGTCCCCAGCGACTTTCATATTTCTTACACCTCAATTAATCAATTGTACTTGATAATGCCGACATCGACGGAGCAGGGTTTGTAACATTGTGCACGTTCGCAAGCCATGTGAATGCTGAATGTTTTCACCATGTGATTCCAGCATTATTGGCTTCTCATATGTCCACGTATCCCAACTGAATACTATTCCAATGATAATCATTCATATATCATCCTTCGTGATAACTCATATCATTCAAGTAGTAGGAGGCAAAGGGATCATCTGTCCAGAAAATAGCAGGAAATAAACGGAAAAGTCTTACACTCAGAAATGTGCATAACACTAATCAAGCATTGATTGATGTTTTAGTTGAAGAAGAATACTTGTTTGGATCAATTACAATCGATTCTTTTCAAATTTTTCAATTTCTCTTCCCTAGGTAAAACTGAAGCTTCACTTTGAAACCGAACTAATGTTAAGTTACTAACTTGTACACATCTCACGATCAAAGGAGCTAGAGGCAGCAATAGCTCAAAGTCAGAGATGGAGAGGAATTGAAAAAAGTGATGTGAGGCTTTTACTTTGCAGAAACGAAAAGTGGATGCTCAGAAATAGACGCTCTTAAAACATGTAGTCAGCGTAACTCAGTCAGGAGACCTAACCTAGATTCAAAGAAGTCGGCCAGGCAATGACGATACATACTCGAAAGTATAAAATTCACATCAGAACATATACCTGACATTCAAGAAAATGCTGGGTGTGCTATTTATACAACGAAGGATTGAAACCATTTTGTATCCTTGAAATCGGCGAAGGCATAATTCTTCCCAATAAAAGGTCCATTGTGGTGTAAATTATACGATGTAATACTTCCTCTTGTGATAATTACAGGTCAATGAAATTCATCTCTATAGAACTTCGTGTCGTTTCCCTAGATATTGTTTTGTCTCTGGGCGCATATTAAGCAATTTATGTCTACTTTTTCAAAAATGGAAAGTCAACTTAAACATTTTTTTCATAGTTTACAAACCTTTTATTGTATGTTTTACGATAACCGCAATAATTAATGTACCTTTTTTTAATGATCTTAAGAAGTCAATAAAAATAATTGAAGTGAAGGCATTTTGTTTGCAAACACCAAGTCTAACGAAGCGATCCAATAGGAATTATAGAAAAGTTAAAAGAGAAGACGAGTAGATACTATGTTATTACGATAAAATCTTGGTCTTCTTGTAAATGACGCGTCTGAAGCAAGAATCGTGTAGATTTGAAATAGAAGATGGCTCTCTTACGTAATAAAATCAAAGGTGTTTTTTTATTTACCTTATTAGAAGATAGTATTACGAAAAGTATTGAAGACAACTGGCCGATTTCACAAATAACAGACTTATAAACCTGTTATAAATATGTTATAAACCTCGGCTGTCGCCTCAGTCTACAAACTTCAACCGCGTCTGTTATTTGCTGCTTATCGGCGTTAATAACTACTTCAGTATTATAGTTTGAGTTATATACTGTTACAATATTTCTTGAAATACTTCAATTATATAAATAATTTGTATCGTATTCCCGTTTTGAATTTTGCGCTCAGTTAAGTCTAGTACCAATTGTGCTTCATAGAGGGCAATCGTCTTTAGACTCACGAGCATGGTGAATTCTCGAAATTTTCGAGATGTGACAAATTGCGATTGTCGATTACATGGTCGATGAAAGGAAGGAGCAATGGCAGCTCCCATGCACAGGCGGGTTTGGAGACTTTGTCGTTCGTGTGACAATGTTGCTTTTTATGGATCTGTTAGAGTGTTTTCTAATACTTTCTCTCAAGGTGTACCCGAGGTTGCAGTTAATTTTTCCAATGAGTAAGACTCGTATCTTATTTACCTGTGTGTTGTTGAGGTTATGTCATTACAATTAAGTAGTTTTGACCAGGTTTCGACAACTTTAATTTGTTTTTTTGCAATATGCCAAATTTACAACGCGTTGAAGTTAACATCTTAATAGATAGTTAAACATTTTTAATCGTCTTTTGCCTTTTTTTCAGCCGTCCAATGCAACTTACTACCGGCAAGTATGCACGGTTTGCAGACGGTTGTGCTGTCGCCCAACTTGGAGATACAGCCGTTATGGTGACTGCAGTAAGCAAGCAGAAGCCGTCTGCAGTGCCTTTTTTGCCTCTCGTTGTGGATTATCGTCAGAAAGCGGCGGCAGCGGGGCGCATTCCCACAAATTTTCTTCGGCGGGAATTAGGTGTCTCAGAAAAGGAAATACTCACCAGTAGATTAATTGACAGGTCTTTGCGACCTCTGTTTCCAGAAAACTTCAATTATGAGACCCAAATTATGTGTAATTTACTCTCTGTGGACAGTGTTAATGACCCTGATGTCATCAGTATAAATGCTGCATCAGCTGCATTGTCTTTGTCTGACATTCCATGGAATGGACCTGTTGGTGCTGTGAGAGTTGGACTTTTGGACAATGAAGTTGTTATAAACCCTACAAGATTAGAATTAACAAATAGTTCTTTAAATTTAGTTGTTACTGCTATGAGACACAGCCTTGTTGTCATGTTAGAAGCAGCTGCAGAAAATGTATTGTTACCTGACTTCCAGAAAGCTATTAAAGCAGGTGTGAAAGAATGTCAACAAGTTGTTCAAGCTATCCTACAATTGCAAAAATATTATGGCAAAGTTAAACGAGAAATTGAAGTCCCAGAACCACCAAATGCTGATGTTGTTGATTCTGTAAGAAGTTTCTCTGAAATGAGACTCAGAGAAATATTTCGTGATCATAATCACGACAAACTCTCAAGAGATGTGGCTGTGAGTAATTTGAGGACAGATGTTATTGAGAAGTTAAAACACAACCTTGGTGATGCAGTTGATGGAAGTGTTGTTAATGAAATTTTTAATAAGATTTGCAAAGAAATTTTTAGGAGCATGATATTTGAAGACAATGTCAGGTATTTATAATTTTTGTGTCTTAACAGAATTACACAATTTATATAAACAAATAGTTGCCATGTACATTAAAAATTTTATGCATTGGACTGCGAAAACCCCATTGTTTGATTTTATAAATTATTTTTTATAGAATGAATGTTCCTAAGCTTAGTTTCTTACTGGTTGGTGGAAAGTAACTTTTTAAATTTTGTGCATTTTTAAGCCACACTTGTGTTTGGGTGCAATAATACTTACCAGGAAATGTTTATTAAGTAAGTTGTAAGGGTTACTTAGAGTGGATCATCACTGACAAACAATAGTTTCCAGGGTCTCTGTAATTAAATGATTTGATTTTGAAAATTCTGAAATTACTTTCATTAGCGACAAAAAGTTGTATTTTTCATGTCACTTATTTTAAGAAAATTAGTTATTTTCTGAATTATTGGCTCTTTTTTTGTTGATTTTTTAATAAATGCATGCTGTTGAGTTAATCAAATTTTAAATCGTTTATAAAAATGTGAAAGAAAAAAAAATTCTAATCATTTCATGTTTGTGACAGGTGTGATGGAAGAACAATGGATGATTTGCGAAACATTTCATGTCAAGTAGATCTGTACAAGCCTCTTCATGGTTCAGCTCTTTTTCAGCGTGGGCAAACACAAGTTTTCTGTACTGTGGCTTTGGATTCTCCAGATTCAGCCATGAAATTAGATACTATATCTATGCTTACAAGGTGAAGTTGTATGATTTTCAAGTATTTTGACCTCTTAATACTCTTTATATTATTGATGTTGGAATTCCTTTTTTCAGTGGATTTAAAGAGAAGAATTTCTTCCTTCATTATGAGTTTCCTCCATATGCTACCAAAGAAATTGGGCGTATAGGTCCTGCAGGACGAAGAGAGCTAGGACATGGGGCTCTGGCTGAGAAGGGATTGCGAGCTGTTGTTCCTAAAGATTATCCTTTCACCATTCGCCTCACATCTGAAGTTCTCGAGTCAAATGGTAATAAGAGGCAGTGCATTGTATTGTTATCCATTTATGTGAAGGTGTAGCTTTGTATAAGGGTTTAAATGTTATAGATAATGGAGTTAGATTTTATTGGTGAGCTTTATGGCTAATAGATATTAACTGGACTTGTCACTTTTAATTTCATAACAGTTGTTAAAAATCGTTTTTCGTAAGTTTCACCTTAGTAACAATGGAGATTAGTTTAATGTTTTAAATAGTTTTTCTTTTTGTCTAATATCTGAATGAATGACCATAGTTGTGGAACAGAACTTTTGGTATCATTACCTAAACCCTCTTGTACCTGGTTTGTTAAACAGATCACGTTTTTAGCAATGTTAGTAATTTTATTTGTATTTTGTGTTGTACCTTGCATCTATGAGGATTTTTTTTAAAATATGTTTTCTTCCCTTTAAAATATAAGAATTTGAATTCACTAATTTTTATGGTAATATTTACATCCATATTTTGAATAAAATGTATGCTGATATTACCTCTTTGTTGGTAGTATCTGGGTAGCCTACTCTCTCCACATACTCTCAAACTCTACCAAATATAGTTATGAAGTGTTGATTCAAAAGCACTGCCCATAAGGTAAAGTTGTCCCATATCACTCTTCCTTTTCAGCTACTCTGCTGCCCTATGTCAAATTTTTGTGGATTGTTATGGCTTCTCATTCCCTTAACAGGCTCTTCCTCGATGGCATCTGTATGTGGTGGTAGCTTAGCTTTAATGGATGCTGGAGTTCCAATCTCTAGTCCAGCAGCTGGTGTTGCAATTGGTTTAGTTAGCCGTTATGAAAATGAAGACACAAAACACATGGAGGATTATCGCATTCTTACTGACATCCTGGTATGAGGGAAAATATTTTCACTGTTGTGTTTTAATTTGTGCTTGGCTGGGTTACTTTTGTGGAAGTCTTTCATCTTATTAACATTAATATCTTTGTCTCTGGACATCTCAGAGCTATCATGGTTCATGTCTGATTTAATACCTGCTAGAATGCATGGTGTGTGATGTTTCAAAATTGTTCATTGCACAGTTTATAAAGATAATCTGGAATTTATTTTCTTAAAAGAATTTGTTTTAAGAATGTCTTATTGCAAAGGTTTTGAAATTACCTATATGAAATATGGTAAAAGTTGGAGTAAAGCGGTCCTGACAGAGAGATTATTCCATCTGCACCGCAATTTGTAACTAACTGAAATGGACTTTAGAGAGAAGTATTCTACGTAATGATTCTCAAAGATTTGCTCTGGTTGCAAAAATTCTCATTAAAATTATCTTGAATTCATGAAATGATTTTATCAACTTGGGATTATGTTAACTAATAAATGTAGATCTGTGACTGTTCATGGAGTTTATCTTGCTTTGGAAATTATTCTTATGTACACAGGGTATTGAGGACTACATGGGTGATATGGATTTTAAAATGGCTGGTACAAAGAAAGGTATTACTGCTTTGCAAGCTGACATAAAAATACCAGGTTTGCCTCTCAAAGTAGTGATGGAATCTCTTCTTAAAGCAACAGAAGCTAAGTCACGTATAATTGACATTATGTCTCAAACTCTCAGTAAACACAGGTGAGTTTAAGAAGAAAAATTATAGTACTTCTCTATGATTGGAAAAAATGATCTGTATAAAGATGATATATTGGATTGATTCCTTACAGAGCAAATAATAAAGTAAATTAAGTTAGTGAGTTTCGATAAGATATTTCCTGGCATGTGCTAATTACTTCCAAAACATTGTAATTCATATTTTTCTTTAATTTTTTGTGACTGCACAAAACTCTGATTTTTGAAATTGTAAGATACAGAACCACTTTGAACAGAATCAGGATGTTGACAGACCTGGAAATCAGGGAAATACTGGAGCTTTTTGTTCTTTAAAAAAATCTGAGCTTTTTTTCTTAGGGAAATATTATTTAAAATATGAAATGTTCATAATTGGCTGATGAATGGGAAAGGGGATGTAGGTGACAATGCTATTCTTAGAATATTGCTTTCAAAGTTTTCATTGAGTAATCTGAACGTGATAGATCCATATGCCCTTTTCTCACAGATCACCCTAATTTCTTCAAAAATGAAGTACTAATTTATTGAATTAATAATGAATTATGATATTGGGATTTTTCTTTTATTTAATGTATTGTGATTTTTTTGTAATTTATTTTTGATTATGTTTTGGACTTCGGTTTAATTAAGTCAAAAGAATCTGTGAAAAACAATGAGTTCGCAGGAATAGGGTGACCACAGTAAGCCTTGGTCAATGAAAATAGATTACAGCATCATGTACAATCGTTAAATTTTCTTTTAATATTTTCATGGTTTCATCATTTCATGGTTTAAAAAGATTATTCCACAAATTTCTTCAATGAAGAAAAGCCGCTTCTGTCCACACTGCCGTAAAAAGATGGCTGGGAATTAAACTTTTTATTATTGCCAACCATATGTTTTGAGTTAAAGTTAATAATTATATGATCCCTTTTTTTTTTGTTAGGTTAATGACAATTTGAATTTATCACATACCTAAAAGGAAAAAGTGGTTTGTAGGATTTATTTCTTGACATTTCTTCACAATGATTTGACAATTTCTTCATATTGTCATCATCAAGTTCACTTCACAATAAATTAAACCATTTGAACATATTCTTGAAGTTAAGTCATAATTAATAATAATAATAATAATAATAATAATAATAATTATAATAACAACAATAATTGTTAAACAATTTATAATAACCATAAAATTATTATTAACGTCTTTTATATTATCAATTAAATTATTATCATTAAACAAATTAAAACTTCCATATTCTAACATTCAGATGCTGTACTGGTGTACAATGTCACCACCACAATTGTGGACAACAAAGACAATCGACCCCAAATTTTTTGTATTTCCATTAAAATCTTGAATTTCTGCAGCATTACATAACTTTTTTTGTATGCATGCTTGGCTGAAAATGTCCTTTGCAATTTACAGCACCGAATTTACGTATTTCAGTGACATTCACCACCAATTCCTGCCTTGGTGACAATGACAACTATATTTTTTGAACTTTCAGCGTTGCACTCTGTAATGAACACTTTTGTTCATTTTTAATTAAAAAAAAAATATTTATTTAATATAAAAGAACTGATACGGTTAATGCAGAGAGAAAAAAAATACAGAAAATGGGTTAAAGTATTTTGTATTCTTTTATATCAATTTCAGTACAGTCAGGGACAATTGATGTTGATGTTTTTGGAAACTTAGAAGTGGGAAAAATTTGTTTGTGTTATTGGTAATAGGAGCAGCTGAAGCTGATATGCAAATTACGTGTTAAAATTTAAATTATTTTTGAGTATATGATATGATTCATGATACATTTGAATTTATTTTTTCTTTTTGAAATGTTGGTATCTCCCTAAGATATTTCAATGTCTGCAAAAACTTACAAGAAAAACATGTAACAATAAAAAAAAATTCACAATATTCCTAAAAATTCTTATTTATGGACTTTTCTTCTTTTGTCTCTTGTGTTAACCATTCAAAAAGTCTGAATTCATGTATTGTTTCTGGTGAAAAGAGTAACTTTTTATTATACTTATTGGTTTTATTTTTTGTTGTGTAAAATGAAAACAAGTTTTTGCATTAGTATAATAAGTAATACAATATTATGTGCATATTTTATCTATTTATTTTGTTTATCTTGGCAGCATATGAATGTATTGACAATTTTCTAAGTTGGAATTATGGTTTGTTTCCTTAATTTCTAGATCAATAAAGAAAGAAAATTGGCCAGTGACTGAGAAGTTGGAAATACCACCTCATAAACGTGCCAAGTTCCTAGGATTAGGTGGAGGGAACTTGAAGAAACTGATGTTTGAAACTGGTGTTCATGTAAGTTTCCTAATACATGTAAGCTCTTTTTCTCTTAATCTCTAAAAGAGGATGGTGGGAAATACTGTTTCAGAATCTCAGAAATTAATCTTCCTTTATTCTTATATGTATCTCTATTATGATAATTATTGATATGAAATGGCTTGCAACATTTTTGAGATCTATCAGTGAAAAGTAAAATCAATCTGTATTATTCGGAATGAACAAACTGTATTCGTCTCGTGTGTAGAAGTGTAGGAAATGTGTGAAACGTGCATTCACAAAAAGTTATCAATTAGTTTACAAACAAAAAGTCATGGCTGGATTGTGCTAGATTGGTACTCTCTGTGGTTAGTGATTTTGGCTTTAAACCACAAACAATAATTTTTGTAACAAATTTATAATTATTTCTGGCCATTTTTTGTGTTGTGTTGTGAATCACCCCTAACCAAATTTTCTGCTTTAGCGCTCTCTTGGAAATCTTTTAAGAATGTTTGCTCAGGAGGCTGAATATGCTCAAAATCTCACATGCTTTCTACATATGAAAATCAGGTAGTTAGTGACAATGGAAATAAAAAAGTTATTACACAGCCAGTGACTTTCATTGGGGAAGGAGTCAGAATCAAAATGATGAATGAACCATTTTTAAGTATGCAAATAAGAACATGTGAAGTGTGTGCTTGTCAAAGATGTTTGTGAAGCAAGAAAGTCCAGGTTTAAATATTTTTGGAAAATGAGCTGCACGAGATGCAAAAGAGAAATCTTTGTCTAGAATCTAGTCTGAAATCTTTAAGCTGAACCCCTGTGTATGTAATCATTGTTGTTTGAATTACCAAGTGGTAGTAGATGCTTTTAGAATTAAATTTGTGAAATTTAATGAAATCAAATTAATTTTTGGAAAACTGAATTTCAGGCTTTTGGCTTGACTTGATTTTCTTTTCAGTACCTTGAATAATTCCATTAGCGCGTTTTTTCTTATTAAAAAAAAGCCAAAAACATGCAGTATTGTATGTTTTATTTCATTTCATGGCATTATAAGAAGATACAGCAAATAATCCATTTTGTAGGGTGTGCTCATTGTCAAACGAATAGTCACTTATTAAATTTGGAGTTTACTCAATTATAAGGTTGTGTACGGTAATACATTGAAATATGAATGATATAGTGTTCTCTCTCTCTCTCTGTAAAGTTTGTTCTCTGTAGTGTTCTCTCTCTCTGTTTCTCTGTAAAGTTTGTAAGTTTACTAATAAATAAAATAATTCTTCTATTGCAGATTAACCAGGAAGACGATCATAGCTATTTAATATTTGCTCCAAATCAAGGTGCAATGGATGAAGCAAAGGAAAAAATTAAGGAGTTTCTTTCTAGTGAGCGAGAACCAGAGTTGGAATTTGGAGCAATATACACTGCCAAAATTGTGGAACTTCGAGACATAGGGGTTATGGTGACTTTATATTCCTCTATGGCTCCTGCACTTCTTCATAATACACAGCTGGATGTTAGAAATGTACGAGATGTTATAAAGTATACTTCTGACACTATTATTTTAGAAATTCCATTGCGTTTATAATTAGTATTTGTTTTCATCATAAAATAGGAAGGAAAACCTGTTGTTAAATTGAGAAATTTGAATGATTGTTTTTAACAATAATAATTAATGTTCATAGGTCAGCTATTTCAGTTTTCAAATCATTTCATTTAACAATCACCATTTCTTTTTTTTTGTGTGCCAGACTGACGCATTCATGCAAAAATGTTAATAATTTTGTAGGTTTAATATGGCTGATCGACTTTAAATACCTGAATAGAAGCACATATATTTATATATGTTGTTATTCAGATCATTACCCAACTTCATTTTACATTTTCTGCTTACATTTTTGGATGTTAATTGTCTGTGCAAATTTAAAGTGTATAAGGTGTTACGAAATTTTTGATTAATAGTTTCATTAAAGATATCAACTGTCACTCTATTTCATAAAATAATTTGTATTTGTTCTACAGGTAAACCATCCCAGTGCTCTTGGTTTGGAGGTAGGGCAGGAAATCAAAGTGAAATATTTTGGTCGAGATCCTGTGTCTGGGCTTATGCGCTTATCTCGAAAAGTGCTACAGTCACCTGCATCGTCTGTAGTTCGGAATTTGGACCCTAAAGATTAATATCAGGTGTTGCACTGTTCAAGGTAATGTGGGCTGATGTAATTTCACTTTGTGTTGGTGAAATAAGATGGATATTTGGTCTTGTGTGAATCTTCTTAGTGATATGTATATATGTGTGTGTGTAATAGCCAATATCAGTGTAATTGTAAGGATGTGAACTGTATATAGTACACAACTGTTAAGTACTTTAATTGGAAGAAACTAGCAATTTTGTAAATGAATGAAAATAATTTTTTGTATTGAAAAATTTGTGGTATTGATCAGTCTTTCTAAGCTGTTCTTATATTCATGATATATTGTACAATTGTTTTGAAGAAAAAGCAACTTTTGAGTATTTTAGAAAATGTTTTTTGTATGTCATGTTTTCATGAAGGTAACTTTTTACACATGCCAATGTAAGATGAAGCTTTCATTTCAGAAAATATTTTCCAATGTCAGACAATTCTTGGATTTTAAAAATTTGAAAATTAGATGAAAGTAGCTGGATTCTTCAGTTTGCTTCATTCTAAGAAGATGGAGCTCTACCAAATTGCCCCATTGCTCTTTCAAAGAAGTCGTTGAAAATCACACTGGTGGAGTTCTCCTTCAGATGTTTTTGCACTATTGAAAGGGGTATATTATTAATGGACCCAATTCATATAATGGGTTTTGCACAGACTTGCCATAAGTCATTTGTTGTTTTAAGTACCTAATTGGTTTAGTTCTGGAAATGATGTGTGTTTTAGACTCATTTTTAATTAAAGTAGTAAAACAGAATGTGTTTTAAATAAATATGTGATGTCTCAGCAAAAGTGGCTGTTATGGATGATATGGGAAGTGAAAGTAGATGATGGATTTGCTAAAAAAAATCATTGTCTTTGTGAAGTGAAACATCTGAAGTTAAAGAAAGTTGGTCACAAAGTTTATGAAAAAGTGTCTTACTATTACATTGCTTGAAATCTTTGTTGATTTTATTACCAAAATAATAACATTGAAAAGTAATGGTAGTTTCAAATTTTGACATTGTTTCCATTTAACTGGCAACACTCCATATGAACAGTTAAGATGAAATTTGCATCAAATTCGTAAACCATAGTTTCCCCCAAGTTTTGGAAATTTTGCAGATCAACTACATAAAGCTATCATGCTATTATTGTGTGGAACACGATATAAATCCAACAACAATGAGAACAACATAATACTTTAAATATTTGTATTGCCGAATATACTACTAATTTCCAATGTGCATGCCAGTTAAACTCAATTGATGTCATTGTAGTGCCTCGGCTTGGGAGGTTGTAGTTTTAGAGTTCCAACTGGCAGGATTTTTACACTAGCTACATAGTTAGATTGAGCTCAGCTGCTGTCTGAAGAAGAATTCTAGAGGCCAGCTACCCTAATCAGTAGTTTTCCATAGTTCCTCCAAATAACACCTGTGAATGCTAGGACAGGACCAAATTAAATGGGCCATGGACTGGGCACAATCATCATTGTTCCATTCCTTGCAATTGTTCCTCTTCCTTGTACTATTCTCACCTCGTCCTTGCACACTCTCGAGGTGGCTTCACACATTTGTTATTCAGCAAGTAGCGAGCAACCACTTGGTGAAACCCGAGTAGTGTGGACGAGTTGCTTGCTATTTGCGGAGTGACAGACATTCTGTGCTCGCCCTACCCACTATGCATCGATCATTAGGACCCATTATTATTTTTCATTGAGAATTCATCTTAACTGCAGAGAAGTATGCCTTCGGCTGGTGTCTAGTGGTAGGTCGCTTTCTGCTTGAATATTATCAGAGTCATATCAGTTTCAAGATTAAAATATGTCATTGCAAATTTTACTAATGTAGATGGAAAGAATACACAAAAATGCCTTGCTTCAAATCCTGAAAAAAGCTATTAAACTAATCTTCAGTGAATTTTTTTGAATCTTGAGGGTTTGGTATTGTTATTTAACAACATAATCAAGTGTTTCAACAGCACATAGTTTCTCACTTATTGGAAATTGTTTCTTAATATGGAAATTTCTAGTAATTGTTTTTAGTAAGTCAGACTTTGTGATTTCTGCCATAATAAAAACTCGGTTATTAAGTGAATTAGTCCAATTCAGACGAAGTGCCTATGGTGCATATCGACATTTATTTTTTATTTATTTACTAGCAGAACCTGGCAGATGTTCTGCCATTCAGCTCTCTCTTCGTCCTTCTGTCTCTTCATCTCTCCCTCTCTCTTTGTCTCTCCCTTTCTCTGTCCCTCCCTTTCTCTTTGTCTCTCCATCACTCCCACTCTCCCTCTCATCTTGCTCTGTCTCTCTCTCTGTCACTCCTACTCTCTCCCTCTCATCTCGCTCTCTGTTACTCCCACTCTCCCTCTCCTCTCTTTGTCTCTCTCTCTTTGTCTCTCTCTCTTCTCTCTCTCTCTTCTCTTCTCTCTCTCCTCTCTCTCTTCTCTCTCCTCTCTTCTCTCTTTCTCTCTCTCTCTTCTCTCTCCTCTCTTTCTCTCTCTCTCTCTCTTCTCTCTTCTCTCTCCTCTCTTTCTCTCTCTCTTTCTCTCTCTCTCTCTTTCTCTCTCTGCCTCAAGTCTGTTTGACTGTCTCTCTGTATCCCTCTTATATACACATTGAGTTGCAAATTCTGCTCCTCTCTGGGCAGGTGGGGGGATATCGAAAATAGTCTGACAATAATGAATGGTACCTCCTTAGTGTACGGTCGGAACAGCAGAAATGTTACAGAATGTTCCAGAATATCCTACAAATTACGGTGTTAGAAACGTTCCTTTGAGACCTACAGCCTCAAAATTTTAGTTTTTTGATGCCTTAAAACGCTTCCTTTAGGAGTTATTTAACAATACTGAGTCAAAAAGTTTGACATGAATATTTATTTTTCCTTAATAAAATCGTATCACAGCGTGACCCGAGTGTAGCCTCTAATATTTGACAAAATCTGTAATTCGGCACATTCGAGCAAAACCGTTTAAATTTTTCTTCCCAACGTTTGTTTCTGGGTCCGTCCCTGGAGTAATCCTTCTCCAATCTAGTCAGTTCTTAGCCTAGCTTTTTATCCCTTAGGCCAGGATCTCGGAACGTTTATGTCTAAATTTAACTCATACTGTATTTTGCAGCACATTATACACAAAAGAAAGAATATTTCACACGATTGCCTTGATTAATTGAAGTGTGCTAACAAACATAATTAGCTATCAGAACTTTTAAAAGTAGATGTGTTTGTTAATTCTTCTTAAATATATTTCCTTTCGCAAGAATTTTGTCGATATCTTACGATCGTCATGACCGGCAACAATGAGAAGCGTTCCAATATGATTTGAAGCGGCCATGTTGCCAGTTGGCGAACTGAAAGCGCCTCAATGAAGTGCGGGAAATGTCCATTTCGAATTTTCGAAAATGGAAAATGCGCCGAAGTGTGTCGGCACCACATTCTTTACCTTTGAAGAAAAAAATCTGGAGCAGTTTCCGAGAAAATAATTGTTTAAAATTTTTAATTTTCCTTCGTTTCACACAAAATTGTACAAAAATATTCATATTTTCGAAAAAATGAGTACGACCTTACATGGAGATATTTTAATGAACGCACTCATTAAGAAAAAAATATGTTCATAAATGTAGTTGTAATTAGACGAAAAATGTGAATTTTTGCAATTTTCGAAAAATCAGGGATTTTGATGAAATTGAAAATACCTTGCACCATTCTCTTAAACGTCTTTTACGCAATCGTGTCAAAATTTAACCAAAAAAATTGATGCCTTAAAAAAATTAAAAATTGCGTGTTACACGCAAAATTACGCGAAGACTACCCAAATTTTGAAAAAAAATTATTATTGTAGAAAATGCTTTTCTTTCAAGTTCTGTCTTTAAAGAACAGATTTCATTTAAAAATCTATCTTTTAATATTTTAAATGTAGAAAGTCGCCAAAAAATTGAAGTTCTGGAATTTTCGAAAAATCTGGGATTGCAACGAAAATGAGACGTGCACCGTTCTCTTACGCGCCGTTTACACCACCCTACAACAAAATTAATCCAAATTTTTGGACCCGTTTTTTTCAAAAAAATTGAAATTGTCCTTGGAATTTCATGATAAGTTCCCCCCAAAATTAAAAAAAAAAGTTTCAAATTCAGGAGGCCGCGATATCAGCCTGATCGATTAGAGATCATCAGTTTTGGGGGAAATCGGCTGAACGGTTTAGGCGCTGACGTTGATAACATACATTTTTGCCGTCCATCGATTTTGGGAATCAAGGGCCCACAAAACATGGATTCTGACTAGACCACGAGGTAGAGGATTTGGTTTCTAAATTTAGCAGCTGGATTTATCCACTTTTTCGTTACCAGGGCCCGGCAATAAGTTTTTTCTGGAGAATGTGCCGTGTTTTCGTACAACTTCACAATACTTTCTCTATACCGCCTAAGCAGTAGCGAGAAAGTAAATAGTGACACCATTTAACCATTCTATAAAAAATTCCCACCGCAAGCTCGCTGTTATGTGGAATGCTTCAGTTGTACATTTTAATGAACTGTTGTAAATTGCGTATTTTCATGTATGCAAAAATGGGCATTGGATAACAATTTTTATTGCAGTTTTCCCTGTATTTTTATTTTAATGGCTTGGTAGAAAAGTTTCTCTGATATTTCATTAGAAGGTTAAGTGCTGCCACCTTCTCCAGAACATAATTATTGATCCAGTTGCTAATTAAAGGAATGGATAATAAATAAAGGCCTAGAAATTTTATTTTTATTATAAAGTGCAGCAATTGTGCATTCATGCATGCATATTAATTGAACCTCTGTCTCAGGGCTTCTGATAGTAATTGATTTCAGAGTAACCTCCTTTAAGTTGAAACATTTGAGAGCAAACTTCTGGAAAACAAAGTTTGGCTAATTTAAATTGTGGTTTACTTTTTTCTTCCTAGTCATTTCTAAAACCTTTTATTTGGGCATCAGGGTTGCTTTAAAGTGACATTTAAAACCCTTAGCGTATTCCATATCGTGGATATGCCACTAATTTACGAACGTAACCGAACTAGAGCAATACCACGAATTCTATATAAAGGTAATTTTGACAGTAAAATTTTTTGAAATAGTCCAATAAGCTAAGCCATGAATTCTACCATTACCTTGCGTCTCGATTTACGAATCAATATTGTTGTTTTGTTTTCTTACAAAACGACTTATTCACTGGCGGGAACATACTTTCAGCAAAAAATACGGATGTCTATAACAACACTTGACGCATATGGCTCTGGGGTGGATGAGGGTAGCGTTTGCTCGTCCACATTCTCAGTATGGTGTGATCCACTTATGTTTGTCTATGCTTACAACCTCCCCACAACGATATCTTTGCTACGTTTAGCGGTTTGTCTGTAATTGCAGAATGCAATTACCCGTGCATTCCCAGGGGCAATGGTGGGAACTTATTCAAATTCATCATTATCCTAACACAGCGGCGCCCTAAGAAAATCTGAGGTCCGAAGCACTTGATCCAAGGAGGCCCAATTCATTAAGATAATTAATTTATTCATCCATCAGAAATAACTTATAGCGTTAAGTTTGGATTAGAGATAAATATATATTTTTCATTTCCTTTGAATAACAAAACTTCGGGGTTTGGGGCAAGTTGCAACACCTACCCCCTCTTCTGGACGCCACTGCCCTCAAACCACCCATAAAATGTAGCGAAGCTAATATATTTTTTGGTACCTAATCTTACGAGGGCGAAACGACAAAAGGAACTGTATTTATCTGCCCTCTGTATAAAAATTTTAATCATAACCAAGTTATGTTACGTAATAGTGGAAGATGTTGACTCAAAATTATCATGCAATTTGATTCTGACTATATGAGATTAACTTACATGTGGTCGTTGTTTTTGAGAGTCACTTGAAATGCGTTAGCTGCCCTTTCTTAAAATAAGGAAACGTAATTTATTTTGAAAATTATTTATCATTAAAACTATATTTTTCAAAAACAGATGCTTCAACTAAAGACTCAACATGGTAATCAAGTAAAAAAATAGTTTAGCTGTAAAAGTAAGCAAGTATTAAGAAGTTAAAGCACATAAAGGAATCAACTTCCAAAAATTTCCCCTCGCTTCCAACGCTACGTGTTGAATATACTTTCACCAATTTAATGTATTTGGCGAAAGCCGGCCTTCGTAAATGTAAAAAGCACTAGACGGGCTCGTCCGGGATTTGAACCCGGACCTTCGCACCCTAAGCGAGAATTCATACCCTCTAGACCAACGGAGCCACTGTAATAATGGGTGTCAAAGTTTATTTCACTGCAAACTAAGGATTAACAATTTAAACATTTTGTGATATTACTATAGTATCTTCTTTAACTATGGATGAATATTTCTATACATTCTAAGAAAGCAACACAAATAAAATCACTTGCTCTCGTATTCAATGAGAGAATCGACAGGCATAATCTGAACTTGAAGAAGAAACGATAGGTAAGTTCTTCATTGTATCCGTTCTTACCTTGTTGCTTGATGAGTTAAGTTTGCTAAAGGAAACCCACATTTAATTCTAAAAGTCGTGTTTATAAATCGTGCGAAAGTCAGGGGAAACTGAAAAGTTTTTGGAACTGTGTATCGAAAATCAATTCTACCAATAAATTATTTAATATTTTGGTTATTGATGATTGGACAAATAATTATTCAACTACTTGTTTAGTTTGGCATTTTTTATCGGCATGAAAATGTGTTAAAGAATTCTGTAGGGCCTACCTATTTTGGAGGAACGACAAAAGTATTCAAAAGCTCTATAAATTATCAACTCAACGAGTCAGTATTATCAGAATTATAAGAACGTAAAATTGATTTCACTTTCTTAATATGGTGAATGAATGTTACAAAGAGTTCAACAATTCACTGCATAGATTAATGGATCTCTATTCATTCCATAATAACGATAAAGCTGTTAACCGCAGGTGACGTGTCGTTGGCACTGTTACCAGTGTTTCAGCCAACATATTGCGACCTTTTCAGAATATTCAGGAGCCCTGAGGAAGTTCGCAGTGTAACTGCCGAACCGTTAGCAATTAATTGAAACTT